GCGTAAAAATATTTTAATAGAAAAACATGATTTTAGAAAATGCAGTGTTCACATTTAGCTAATTTATTTTCAAAACTACAAATAGAGCAATTTGATGGTTAATGGAAAAACTAGTAATAATAAATGTTACACGAAAAACAAAGCATTATTAATGGAGGAAGCAGCGATGCACGTAATCTCAAGGTATGGCTGCTAATTTCTCTAGTGAACCGGAGAACACAAGCAGTTATCCGCCAATACTGATAGGAGAAAAAAAATGCTAATTTCAATTTCAATCCATCTATAAATTGGATTAAAGCTTTAAGACAAAATGTTTAGTAAAGATGATTAAGAGAACAATCACTCAATACCATTAAAAGATAGAGAAACTCTAAGAGGAGATCAGTATTCATTATGTTGCTTCTTATACATCGTTCTCATCGTATAAATAAAACAAATATTTCTCACCCATGGATGTAAAAGAGTGTATAAAGCTTCTTCATGTCTGCCAAGCAAGCCTTGGTGAGACTGAGCATGCCCTTTGGTTTGACTGTGAGGGGCTCCAGCGCTGGACTCCCGGTTTCCACTAAATGTGAAAAGAGGCGCTCCACGCTTCGCCTGCAGCCAACACACGGCACCGACTGAGATAACGCACCGTACACCTCTCTGGATGTCACCATCAGCGCAACATTCAGGTCCTGCTGCTTCAGCTTGGAGTAATACTGGGAAAAGAAAACATAAATCCCATTCTCAACTTATTTCACTCCACACTGAAAACAAAGCCCTGTAAAGGCTCTGTGGCTGGGTGTTTCTGCTACATGACAACATATTTAGAGAAACTGTGTGTAGAAATCGGAACTGCTTACCTCAGAAAATTGTTTCCATTGAGCAGGGTTCGTTTCATGGTCTTCAACATCCAGTATACTGTCAGGAAACTCCATCACCATCTGAAAACCATTGACACACAACAGTTCATCAACATCAAACTCCACCATCATGTTTAGTCCATTCTTACAGCTAAGAGACACATACTAGGAATTAAACAATCGGATCAGTCATGATTAATCGATTACTGACATAATCCTTATCTAATTTAGTAATCGATTAATCATTAACCGGAGTATAGAGTAGGGAAGGGAAGGGAATCGAAAACCAGTTCCTGTTTAGAACCGGTTCCGTGTGTTCCAATTCCATGACACCGTTTGGCAACTCGCTTAATGATTCTCTTATCGATTCCAGGCAGCACTAGCCTAGCGCTAGGGAGCAGGACTTACGTTACGTTTTCTACGCAAGTTAAGCACACGGCATTCATTAAGCAAGTACGACGTGACCAGGCGTAAGTCTAGAAAAGCAAAACAAAAGCGATCAAAGTGATTGAAAGTTTGTCTTCATTGTAAGAAGGAGAAAGATGGCAACAAGGCGCCTTGCAATGACTGCACAGTGGCAATTACATCCGGGGGAGGAAATGCATCCAACATGCAGAAACACCTGCGCACACAACATGGCATACATTTTAACAAATGCTGTATTTTTGATACTTCAGGACAGAAGCTAAAGTTACGACCAGCATGGAAGGCAACTCTGGTGGTAAGTGGCTAGTTTTATATCACTGGCTGTGCTTAATGTGGTTCCTGGTAAATCATATGCCATTTCTGGAAATAAACCAGTTTCCTACCTCTCTTTGGGGTTATGAAATGTGCTAAAAAGTTGCTCCACGGTTCAGGAAGCGAGAGAAAGGTGACGCTCTTTTATTTAAATCAGGGAGATAAGTTTATTTCCCAAAATTGTACATTAATGCTTCTCTATTAGATTTAGATGACTGTAACGAGACGGGTAGCCTGGCTAGTTTAGAGGCTGACAGCTCCTGTTCGCGGTCTACCGTTTTCGCCAAGGCAGGCAGAAATAGAATATCCCAGGCCAAGGTAGATGAATGTCACCGTGTCACTTTCCAAGTTCATTGTTTAACAGAATCGATAAGGAACCTAATCATTTCAAAGAATCGACAAGGGAATCGGAATCGGGAAAATCTTATCAATTCCCAACCCTAGTATAGACACTCTAAAACATGCCCTTGGCTGACAGAGCAACCCACTTAGAGGAGTAATTAGATCAAAACTGTAATAAAAATAGAAAATAGAAAAAATAGAAATAGAAAGTTTTAGTTTTCCCTCGTTTAAATTCTGTAAAAACTCAACGAGATGTTGCTATCCAATTTTTTATGAAAACCAATTACCAGCAGATTGATCGATAAACAAAATGACCTAAAATATTTGATTGAAATTTGTAGGGAACAAAACAGCATTCTTGGCATTTAAATCAGAAGTTTAGTTTCAGACTGTTTTGTACTTTAAGCAATCTAATCATTTCTTAGGGTCCAACTGTCTCTTTGTGACAAACACAACCATATCTCAGCCTTCTGACATCAACATTCTTTCTAGCAGTCTGACCAAAACCCCAACAACAAAAAGAGATGAAACAAACAGCCCCCTTCAGAAATAAAAAAAATCAGAGCAATCTTCTTCATTGCTCTTTTGGGCAGAAACAGCTCTAAGGGTACTAATCAACATTACAATCACTTTGGGCTTTCATATTTCAGCTTTAGCACAGTATACTGATTCATAAAGGCCTGCGTACTTATATTCTAACCTTTCCTTGTGATCATGAGGTCTTACCGTGAGTGTGTCATCAATATACAGAGGAATCTGTCTCGATAAAAACGGATAGTCTTCCTCGCCCTCTCTGCAAACCGCTACCAGGCGTGCCATGTCGTCTTGGGGCCAGAGAGCAGCTCACCTGCAAGTTACATAAACATGCAAGAGCTATCACAGGTTGTAGGAGTGATGTTCTTAAACGCCCAAGTTACACCAAGCTAATGCTACCCCTCTTCAGTGAACTGAGGTCTGAGATAATCCTACAGCTAGCAACTTATATTGTATTTTCTTTCCCGTACTAGATGCGTTTTAAACACAAAGCAATTCCCAGAAGTTACAAACTATAGCTTTAGCTGCTTCAAACCTTACAAGCAGGGAAGTCCGATCCCGATGTTCCCTGCTAAGCTAGCAAACACCCCGGCAAAAGAAAGGCTGGGAAATCGCTAAATCGTCATGTTTGTAAAAAATATATGTGTAACATTTTCAGATGGGACTGTAGGGGTTAGAAAGACTGGTTTGAAAATGCTTACTAACATATATATAGTATATTAGACCCTTTCCAACAGATTTCCCTGTTAGCCAGTTAGCTAAGTACACTTGACAAACAACTTCAGAAATCAAGAATGGCGTTCGTTAACACGTAAGCGCTGTGTTATTTATCTTATATTCCTTCCGCCATCTAACATATTTTAGAGTATAATTATGGTTTTAGTTCTCCTCGTCGATGAGAAGGAAAACAAACTTGGCTAGCAAGCTTTTAAAATAGTAAGTGCCTAAAGCTAACGTTAGCAAGCTAATAGAAAGTTGGAACTAGCTACTTAGCCGTGAGTTTCTTTGGAAATGTCGCCTCGTACTGACAGTTTATTCGCCTCTATGAATCCTACTAGTGCGTGTGTTCAAATATTTAAATATTTCTACTTACCGCCGCCTGAAACTTAATAAAAAAAAATAAACAAGTGCGCAACAAGTTAGTGAGCCTGCAACGGCAGCGGGATCTTTATTACTGATTATACCTTTGCCCCCCCCCGTACGTAATACTGTTATATTACGCACTGCCTGTAGAGGGCGTAGATGAGGCGAAAAACATCTAACTGATGTGAGAACAGGATTTACATTTATTATACGCTTGATAACATTACTACGGAAGAGGATTAGGGTCACTGAAAAAGTAGTTGCAATATTATGAACTGAAATATTATTTCAGTTTAATATCGGGAAAAAAAATCTGAGTTCTGACTTTGATCTCAGAATTCCGACTTTTCTTGGAATTCCGAATTCTGACCTTAATCTCAAAATTATGTCTTTAATCTGAGAATTCTGACCATCTCAGAATTCTGAGTTTATTTCTCAGAGTTCCGACTTTATTTCTCAGAGTTCCGACTTTATTACTCAAAATTCTTACTTAATTTCTCAGAATTCTGACTTTATTCTCAGAATTCTGACTTCAATCTCAGAGTTCTGACTTTATTTATCAGAATTCTGATTTTAATCTCAGAATTCTGACTTTATTTCTCAGAATTTTGGATCTTAATGTAGATGGGCACCATGAAGGAAGAGATGTGGGAGCACTCAGCTTCACTGACAAACATGTGAGTTGTTTGGGAGGGTCGGTAATACAATGGTGGAAATGACGGAATTAGGCGACTTTTTACATGCCGGAGGGGTCCCCAGTGATGCTATTTCATTACCGGAAGAGCAGAAGGTGATTAAAACAAGAGAGCTAGTTTAATCTTTAAAACAGACATGCCTACAGCTTGAAGCTGACATGTTTGTTAGCTGTCAGAATTCATTCAGATATTGCAATTAATGCAGAATTCTGGGGGGGAAAAAAAGGTCAGAATCCTGAATTTTTTCTCATATTATACTGAAATAAAATTTAAAAAAGCGGTCAACTTTTTTTCCCCCCAATGGTCCTAATCCTCTTTTGTACATTACATATGTATATCTAGAAATAGTTTAAATACGTAGCTCTTTATGCCTGCTTAAATAAGAGATTATGATATTCATGGGTGGTTGTTTAATTGTAAATAACATTTACTAGTATTTGTTTAGAACAGCTAAACCTGTAACATTAAACTATTAAGAAAATAGAGAGGGTTTGAAAAAGCTAATGTTAATCTACTTTACCTTTTATATAATTGTACCATTTCAACCTGAGATGTGTTACATATTTGTCACAAAGGAAGTGCGACAAATTAGTCAACCTAAACATGATTTATGTCTATATTTAGGTGCAGAGATAAAGAAAAAACCTTAGCAAACAAAGGGCACCATGGAGATCAAGAAACACACAGGTCAGCCACTTTTAAAGATATTTAAAGCATAAAATGTACAGTGTACAACACAATTACTGCTGCAAAGATGCAGCACTCAGGAGGGACAATCTGTCAGCAGATCAAATGTACATCATGCACTCCTCTGTTCCTGGCTGCCTTAGTGGAGAACAGACTGAGATTGAAGAAGAAATGCAAACAAAGCTCTAATTGCACTTTATCACAAGTCATGCAGGGGGAACAGTTCACTTTTGGAAGAAGGTGCAGTCAGATAAGAGCCAAATTAACTTGAACCTTATGTTTAGGAAAACTAACACTACATATCAACACAGTTGTGCCATTCCTGCTGTGAAATAGTTCAAACTAATCTCCATAAATATTAAATAGTTTTACCACATTTGAATGTTTCCTGCTGTTTTACATTTTGGTTGCAAGTCATTTCAGCCTCATATAAAAAAAAAACAGTTTGCATATCCAACATTTACCAGAATTTCACTGTAATTCCACAGATATGTAAAACATATATAACAAGGCAGTTCGTGAACATGTACACCAGTAAAACACACACAGAAAATAAACTGCTGCAGCTGAGCGTGTCCACCACGGAATTGGTCACTCCGGTCATGAGGTTGGCGAGCAGGAAAAAGAGCAGCTGGTTCCTGCTGACAGCCTGGATGAGGCAGAGTCCATCTGTGACACGTCTGTTTTGGTAAGCCTCAGACTCTGCGACATTTTCTTGGAAATTCATCGACGACGGCAGAAAGCGGCAGGAAGATGCTCCCTTAGAGAACAGGATGACCATATCAGCCAGGCCGAGGCAGGACATGAAAAACAAAGACTGAGCAACGCTCCAGATGACGAAGGGTAAATTTGCAGAGCGGCGAGAGACCGGCTCCACCAGCGCCTGACACGTCAGCAAAGCAGCGTATGACAGCAAGCTGCCTATAAAGAGGATAAAAAGCATTTTCAGACAATCTTTGACTTGAGATCTCGGCTGCATCACATAGAGTCCGATCTGAACCCCTGCTAGGTAGATGGCAACATAGCCCGCTATTGAGAATATGCCTTCCTTGTTAGCGTGCACAAAGTCCTTCTCTCTGTCATTATTGTGCATTAGAAAGGTCTTTAGCTCAGATGTTTCCAGAAAGAACTGATAAAACCCACTGATCAGTAGAGCAAAAAGCCACAACAGTCCAGCTGGTAAAACAACTAAAAGAGCAGAAGCCAGAACTCTAACGATGGCCAGGGTGAAGAAGAAATTCCAGTGGATGCCGTATTCTGTCACGTGTTCATGATAGCCGGTCATTTTGATGCTCACCAGTCTCGCCAACCCAAGAGCAACCAGGGGCCAAACAGACAGGATCTGCTTTGTGATATGGCTCATCTTGGATCCAGAAATGCTCTTCCTCCGCGCCTCGGGACTGACGAGAGCGTTTGCAAAAACAAACGCCCCGACTCCAAAGTCCATAACCCCTGTCCCGTAGGTTTCCGTCTTCGCGTATCGTCTTGGAAAGACGCTAAAGTCTACGGCGAGGATGCTGATGGCGGTCTTCATGTTTACAAACACTCTGAAGAGGGTGACGAAGGGAACCTGGTCGAACTGAATGCAACTCTGAAGAAAGTTGCTGAAAATCTTCTGCGGCTGCAGAGCAGAGGAGCGGAAGCTGGTTTGGTAGATGAAGCAGAACACGCAAGCTAAAATAACAGTTAGGCACACGATGACCTGGGAAAGAATGTCGCTGAGAAGCGTACAAGATAACACAAGGGGGAGAACCAGCAGCGAAAAGTCAAGGAGTAGATGTGAAACGGGTGGAAGCGGCAGCGGCAGAGTCCCTTTGGCCTGGTAGTAGAGGACCAAGATGAACGCCCTATGGACGAGACAAACTGGGGCGAGAAATGAGCCCAGCACCACCTCTCCCAAACTGGTCCCGTTGAGATTACTGACAAACGCCTCCTTCACTTCCCTGTGAGCCATAACCTGCAAAAATTAATAAATAGTTTAATCAAAGAGGCATGGGGAAGAGTAACCAGCAGAAAACAACTTTGTTGAAACCTTAGAGCAGGCATCCCCAAAGTCGGTCCTCAAGGTCCTTTGTCCTGCAGGTTTTAGAGGTTTCCCTGCTTCAGCACAGCTGATTTTAATTGAAAGCTGATTAAAAAGCTTTTGCTGAACTGCAATCATCAGAATCAGCTGTGCTAAAGCAGGGAAACCTCTAAAACCTGCAGGACAGCTGCCCTTGAGGACCAGCTTTGGGGATGCCTGCCTTAGAGAAACTCTCCCTAAACGTCCTCTTAAGATTATCCACAACAGAAGACTCCTAAAGCTCTTCTGAGAGGTAGCTAATGTGTTTGCTGCTTAAAATCTATCAGAATAAAAACAGGGCAAAAAAATAAAAAATAAATCTTCCCTGTTTAGCTACAACTTTTACGGTTTGACCATTCGAGAAATTTTCCTTGGATTATCCCTGACCTTTTATGATTTAATGTTTAGAGACATTTTAGGGAACATTTTCTAAAGATTGCCTACAACTAGTGTTGCACCGATACCAATATCAGGCGGGGCCCCGATCCAGCACTTACATGGTGGTATTGGTATCAACAATTACCAACAAATAGGGCACTGATACCATTTTGAGAGCCAAAATTTTATTCAACTATTGTCACCCATTCCAGGTAGGCAATACTAAGTTCTACTGGATTCACTTTGTTTCATTCTTTTTCCTGCTTCACAAAGGTAGGCAGCAGCTTGACAAAGCCATGGTGGCAATTATTTTACATCAGAGTAGTATGCAGTTATTCATATATACACACACATCAATTTCAAACACATGGTATCGGCCGATACTGCACAGCCAGGTATTGGTATTGGGGCCAAAAAATTGCATCGGTGCAACACTACATACAACTATAATGATGTAAATTACAGAGACCTGTAAATTTCAACAAAGATTAGGGAGATTTCTCCAAACTTCATTCAGCAATGATTTTGTAAAGGCTCCTTATAGGCAATCTATGATGCAGCCTTTAGACAAACTTAAGGGAACGCCTCCTAAAGGTTATCTGCACCTGGAAAAGAAGATTACTCCCTATTGGTTCCTTGAACATTTTGTTCCAATTTTCCAAACCCTTCTAGATAAACCCTTTAAAAGATAATTAAAGAAAAAAAAATCCCTGAAGTTTATCAAGATTCTTTATGGGTCAATTAGAAAAGCCTGTCATTTTTTTTTCTTCCAGATTTCTAAATGTGTTTTTAAAAGAAAAACAGGGTCCTTATCTACAAGTTCACTAACCAGAATTTAAACTTTTAAATCAAATTTTTAGAAAATCTGTGATTCATTTTTTTTTTTTTTTTGTCGTTGTTATCCTGAAACATTACAGCAGTTTGAAATAGATCTGTAGTACATAGATCAACCTACTCTCTCAATATGCATCTCTCAAAAATTAAGATAAAAGGAAGATATGATCTTTTCATACCTTGGTTAAATTTGAAGTTCTCTGAGCACAAACATTAGCTTTCCTGCTAACAAACGCTCTCAGTTTGCACCTATGATGTTCGGGGTCTCTAAGCCGATTCCCACAAGACAGATACTACAAACATTCATAAATAAATAATAATTCCGTGTTCAATGGCAACGTCAGAAACAATAAAGTTACCATCGATCAGAACTTACCACGACTTTGTATATTAAACGTGGAAGGTGAAGAAATACCTGTTTAACCGCATTGTTATTTTGCTGGGTGTGCAGTGACGGCTCGTTCAAACACTTCCGGGTTTCCCATGATGCGTTTGAGAACGCTGGGTTTTATAGCACTTCTTTCCAAAATTGTCTTGTCTTGTTGCGTTTAATGGCGGTTGGCAAACAACTTTTCGGTGTGCATTACCGCCACCAACTGGTGAGGAGTGTGGATCAGAATGGCCCTATTCATAAAGATACTTGTATTTATTTATCTATATATCTCTATCTATAATATTACTTATATATATTATTACTATAAATATACTAAATCCTCCTAATTATTCCTGTTAATATTAAATATTTAAATAAATATTGATAACATTTTTTTTTACCTTTTCTGCAGAATATCTATCAAATTCCATTTTACTTTCTCCTTATTTAGGTCTCTAACCAAATTGTTTCTTTCTTCCTCATACTTCTTACAATACATCACTACATGTTCTACTGTTTCTTCTTGTCCAAAAAATTCACATTTACCTGATATATTTTTCCCTATTTTGAATAATGTACTATTTAATCCTCTTTCCAAAATCATGTATTCTTAGGCAAGACATTTTTAAATACAATACATTTACCGTATTTGCAATTTCATAACACGGCTTGCAATATATAATACCCAACACAAATTGTAAACTAGATAAGGAAAATGCTGTTAAAGATTTTGAGATTTGTAACAAAAAAGGAAATGTCACAAAAAAAGGAAATTTGCTGATGCGAATTTAAAAATACAGCTAAAATCTAAAACCATGAAGCTGTAGATATGAAGTGTTTTTTGTTGTTATTGTTTTTTGTTAACTGATGTAACTTTAGGTAACTAAAGTTAACTGATATAAAAATCAGCCGTAATCCTCCTCGGTCCCAACAGTCCAGAGCAGTCAGTGAACGCGCAGGAAGAGGGCGGGAATGATGGGAGGTTTGGGAGTCTGGCTGTTGGCAGCCAGCGGGACAGCCAGTAGAAGTCGTCCTTGAGGCTGACGGCAGTGGAATAATTAAAGTAACTGTTTTTTTCATTGTGTAATTGGAACCAGCTGGAATTAAAAACGGTTTAATCTCCCTTGGTCATTATTTTTTTAATTTAATTTAAGGACGTACACAGAAAAAGGAGCAAATAAATGAGTTCTTCCACCGACCGGCGGTGTAACGTTGCAGTTGGTCCCAGGAATGGAGCGGCAGAAGGGGTAAGTTAGGACCCCAACACAAGTTTTTCACTTGAGTTTCCACCCCTTATCTTTTTGAATATAGAAACTTTAAATACATTAAATTAACCATAAAATCACTAATATTACGTTTTTATTCTGCCCATGAATGCCATGTGAACACTAGCCATAATCTATGTTTTACTGAACTCAGGGGGACACATATACCTGTGACCGTTCTGCGCCTGAACAATAATAGTTCCCAGCGCTTCATGTAATCATCTATATCTGTTAGTAATCTATATATATAAATTACTCACTTTCTATTCTTCAGCACTGCAAAGTGTAAAACTCATAATTTATCATTTAAGCTAGACAGTATTACCTAATAATCATCTCATGTTATGACAATGACAAACTTTAATTTGTTTACTAAATAAATGACTCCATCTCCTTCTCCCGGTCTAAAAATGGCGGAATGTAGGGATGTAGGCTAACTGCTATAGGATTAAGTGTGTCTGGAAACAGTGAGTACCTTGGCCGGGTGACAGCAGGTTCAGGTCATATGGCAGGCTTCCATCAGGCAGGTAAAAAAGGTTCCTTACACAGTTAAAACATGTAATAGTTTGTCACGTTTTAGGCTGTTGACAAAACAAAACATAAAATAATATACCTAAAAAAAAAAACAAATAAAAAAGACAAAATTCTAATTTAATTACAATTTGAAATGTAGCTTACATAGTGTGAAAAAACATTATTTAACTTTTATAGAACAGTTACATGTTTATTAATTGGCTCTTGCCAGTCACAATGAGCTGAAATGTAGAAAAATAACAGTTGTTTTCCCTATTAATTAAATACTTTAGGGTTTTTTTCTTTTATATGTTTGGGTTTCTTTTTTTCTTTTTTTTAACAGTGTCCTGTCTGGCAATGTGGCAATGAGAATAATTATCTTGATTCCAAAAAGAGCCGAACAGATTTTACTTTCACAAGTGGAGCAGTGTGGCTATCGCCATAGTGTTCCGCTTGATTTATGCATATAAATAGCTTTATTATAATTATGCACAGAGTTTTACAGATTATATGGACACTGCAATGTAAGTAGAACAGGAAAGAAAAAACAGAAAAAAGGGAGAAAAGATGAAAGAAGGAGGCGATAAAAGAGAGACAACAATAAAACATCTTCATTCTGCTGTGTGTTTGGGTTTCTAAGTAGATCCTAATGCTCCTGCAATTTAAATATATATATATATATNTATATGTTTGTTTGTTTGTTTTTTGTTTGTTTATTTCAATTTTAACCGATTAAGATTTGTCCTAAAAAAGACGGCATTGTTACAATTTTAACAGATGATTTGTCAGAGGAAAAAAAAGGTAATAAAAGCCAAACTAACTAAAAGTTTTAGGTCATAGATAACCAATAAAGTCCCCCAAAGGATCTCAGAATGTAAGGATCTATGATTTGGAAAATCCGTAGGAGCCATGAGCGTGTCACCGAATTGGACCCAAGTCCTTGTTTATATTTCTGCACAGAGTTGTTTGTTATTAAATAGGTCCCCTATGTTGTGGGGATAACAACACAATACATAGAGAACCAGTGTCATCATCTTTTTGGCTCAGATGTTTCGTTTCCCATCTGATCTTTCCATACAGGTAAAAGTCTGCTCTCCTGACCAAGGCCTCGATGATTCATTGGATGGGAATGTTCAGTCCTTCCTTATTGATGAAGAACAACTACACACTTTTGATGACCTCACCAAAGTTAACCCTGTGACTCCAACAACAGGTACCAGATTTCACATCTCTGTATAATTTAACGGAGTAAATCTGTTAAATATTCTGTCTTGCTGTTCCCCTGTTTGAAAGTTTTTGAATCAAATGCTGCACACTGCTATCCAGCTGCCTGAAATAAGCTTAGTTACATTTTCTCTTCTTAAAAAAAAATGAAATAAACTGCATTTGTTAACTTGCTACGCTCCCAGTGCTTCTTCAAAGAGAAATACGACTGTTATAATCATAGTAGGACATTATTCTTCTGCTAAATTCTACTCTCAAACCTGCTCCACAAGTATGACTGCCCTGCCAAGTTAAGGTGTCTGTCGTTGTCTCAGCGCACCTGATTTAATTGATGGCGTGATGGCATGATAATCATTCAGTGGTCCCTGTGGACCAGGATAGAGAACAACTGAACTAAACGCTTTAAAACTAACAGCTTTCACCAGCTTTGCGACAAACTATAGTTTTAATAATATGTGACTTAAGCGAGAGTGAGCGATGGGGGTTTCCATACCTTGGATTTTTATTTTCTTGGGAATTTTCTTTGCAAATGAGAGAAATATTTAAGGCCCTGTTCTCATTGAAGGTGAATGTAGGTCAAGAGTTTTTTTTTTTGTTTTTGTTTTTGTTTTGTTTTTGAGCGGGGGGGGGACCTCTGTCTGGCCCTCCCTAGCAATCTTGCCCTATGCACATGCCTGGTTTGCCTTTGCATTAATCCGGGTCTGATTATAAGATAATAAAATGTAATATTTTGTGTTTTTTTAATTTTAATTATAAATCATCCATTCTATTGGCTAATTTTCTTATTGATCTGCTCAAACTAAAGAAAAATTAACTTATTTCAAGAAAAATTTACTCATATTTCAGTTTTTGCAGTGATGCAAAATAAATAGACCCCAAGACCCTATTGTTCATAAATAAACAGAGTTAAAACTTTATTTAGGCCTAATTAAAAGGCTTGAAGGAACCATCAGAATATGTGAAATAGTTTGCATTGTAGTTTTCATATACGAGCCTTCACTCAAAGGACTTTAAAATGTTTTACAGGTTAGTGAGCATGTGAGGATATGCCTCTGTGTTGGTCTAATACATTTGATGGTATCGGGTCTCCAGCCTGTAGAGTTCAGTTCAATTTAGTTTATTTCTATAGCACCAATTCACAACACGCGTCACCTCAAGGCACTTTACAGAGACAGTTCAACCAGATCATCCAGTCAGATTGATTCAAATATTTCTATTTAAGGAAAAAACTGTTAATTGCATCGACTCATTGACTCTGCAGCAATCCCTCACACTAAGCATGCTTGTAGCGACAGTGGAGAGGAAAAACTCTCTGTTAACAGGAAGAAACCTCCAGCAGAACCAGGCTCAGTGTGAGCGGCCATCTGCCGAGGCCGACTGGGGTTCAAGGAGACAGAGAAGAGTTGAGAGGAGAGGCGGCAACTTATATGATTAAAAGTTGTCCTCGATATGATTATGTTCAGAATAAACTCATCCTGCCCCACCATCGCTGGGTGGGTCTCCATATCCAGCGTATTTTACTCTCCCATCATTCGTGAAATTCACAAACATCACCTGGTGACTCGATAAATGGCTTTATTATGGGCTTAAAAAAATAATAACAATTTCTTCATGTTAACCGTCCTGCTTCGTGTGTCAACGCTTTGTCTGTATGCGTGTGAAGTTCATTTTGGGGCAGCTAACTCAGAAGTCAGATACAGAGCATATTTTAAAGGTAATGGGAGCAACCATACAAAGAACAAAATCTGATTCCTGGTAAAATCAGATTTGAGCATAAAGACCTGCACTCCCTCATAGTCAGCCAGTTAGGTTGCAGCTTGGTGCAACAAGTGAGGAATGGCAGCGCTGCATGCTCAATGCTCCGTAAAGGGCAGAAAAACTATGCTTTATTTGACCAGGTTGGTTTATATAATGAAGAAAACATCAGGAATATTTTCACATCTATGCTTTTAATGCCTCATATGTGCCATTCTTCTGGCAGTGCTAAAATGCCTGCAGGCCAGGTACAGTTTGAAGGTCTTTTACACCCATGCTGGCTGCACCTTGGTGGCTCTGAACCCTTTCCAGCCCATTCCAGACCTTTACTCTGTGGATGTGATGAGGGAGTATCACTACGCCACTCAGCCTCAGGTATCTGTCATCCCTGCATCAGCTCCACGTCATTGACTTATTCATTCGGTCACCAAGTATAGCTAACAGTCTGGATCCTTTTGAATATTCTGTGTTTTTGCCAACAGGAATTCAAACCTCATATCTTTAATGTGGCGGAGGAGGCTTACAGGAATGTTCAGGGTCAGCTGGAGCCGGTGAACCAGTCGTTGGTTGTTAGCGGTGAGAGCGGAGCCGGAAAGGTAAATCTGTACCGATGGGAATACAGCATGCTTTAACACACATAATGCTAAATATAATAATTAATATTAGTTTGAAATACGAGGTGTTGTTTTATTTTATACCTGGATTTCAGCTGAACAAACAGAGCTAGTATTAGTTTTTTCTTGCTCATCACTGATGGTGTGTTGATGCTTCATTTTGTTTCAGACATGGACGTCTCGTTGCCTGATGAAATACTACGCCACCGTGGCAGCCGCCCCCCCAGCTGTGAGGAGTCAGGACACAGTGGAGAGAATAGAGAGGAGAGTGCTGGACTCCAATCCTCTGATGGAAGCTTTTGGTAAAAACAACAAAGTTGATGTGCAGCGCCTTTAAAAGATGATAAAAAGATAATTTTATAATATTACCAATACAAACTTTAATGCATGTTATTGTGCTGTTGAAGGGATAGATTTAAAATTTGTATTCCTAAATGCAGTCAGTGGGGTTCATTGCCTTGATAAGAAACATAAGCTGGCAGTAATTGAAACCTATCCAGGCTCTGACTGGTAATCTGTAATACCGGGCATTTGCCCGGTGGGCTGGTCCTAATTTCTGCGTGCGAGGGCCGGCCCTCCTTAAATCAAACTGGCCCCAACATTTACTCTCCAGCTGAAGCTCCTACCTGTGACAGTAAATAACTCAAGGAGCTCAAGAAGTAATACAATGTTATCTACCTAAATGATGCATGCAGTATATATAGGCCTTCCTTCATGCTCATTCTTGTGACGGATGGCATATGGTGTCGTTTTCTATTTCTTCAAACTGTAAAATCCTACAAACTAAATTATAGTAAAACTAAAATGCTTTCTTTAAACCAAACTACGATGTTCCTCTTATATTTGGCGAATTTATGTCCGTATATTTTGCAAAAATATGTTTTGCATTTTGCATCTAAAGGCTAACGTTTCCCGTCTTACGTGCATTGTTGCCAGGTTGGGATGTTTTCCAATCTGGCAGTTTAGGATGGCCGTCTATGAGTAAAACATGTTTTTCTTTAGATTTATGGCCTAAGAGATCAACAGACTTTCGTTCAAATTGGGCGAGATTTCGTATATCCAGGCGATTTATGAACATTTTTGGCTGGAAAACGTGAGTCAGTGACATCTGGCAACCCTGCTGATGTGGTGAGTGGCGCTGGTGGGTATTTGGCTGCCTCTGTGCATCTGTGGATGTTAAACAGCAGCTGTCACTGTCGTGTCCGTGTTAATTACCAGTTTTAACTGTGTTAATAGCCGGTAAAACTGCGTTATAGAAGTCTTAGTTGGTGATGGTTGTCGTGTGATGCTTAAAGATAGATCGGTTAATCAAATGTGTATTCATATTATTTTTCAAATCAGAGACGCAGGCGTTTGACTTTGCTTCTGTTTGTTTTGCTTTGGGGGGGGGGCTGCCAGGGCCGAAAAATCATTCCCAATCCAAGCCTGAACCCATCCCTTTGTCATTTAAACTTAAGTGTTCTTTGAAGAGAACAAATCATCTTAGAAGCTCACAGTAGGTTGTTCAGAAGAAAAATAGTAAGCTTCCAAGATAGCTTCCTCGTTGAAAGTGTCTGACTGATCAAGGAAAGCATATATGAGGGTGGTAGTTAAGAGGTAAATGACTCTTGATGGCCACTGGAGGAGCTGCAGATGTCCCCCGCTCAGCTGATTGTTAGCTGTCCACCAATAGAGGAGCGGCAGGAAGAAAGGCATGGTTGAAATATGAAGCATGTGGAAGGTTGGCTTCTAGTCAGAAGGGACTGAAGCTAAACCTTTTGGGCTTCTTAGAAAACGCTGTATGTGGATAAACGCTAACACACCAAACCCACTATGACACATGTTAATGGCAGCATTATGATGCTGGAATGCTTCCACAGGGATGTTTCTTTTATGTGAAACTATTTTGCTAAAATAATAATAAAATAAAAAACAGGAACTGTCAAAGGAATCATCACAAACTAGTTACTAGGAAAACAAATTTTGCTGTTACTTTAAATACATCTTGGAGTTAAATCATCAAAAACGTAAAGTTTAATATCAATTAAAAAGGTAAATAGTTGCTTAATGAAAAGGAGCTCCATTTCTGAAAACGTTGTATACTAATCTTAATTTTAATATGTGTAGTAAGAGCCAATAAAATCGACTGCAATATATTTATATAGATGTTTTAAATGAAGCAAACTATTTATACACATTAAAAACTTCATTTAGCTAAAGGATAAAATTAATTGAGAAAAAAAGGCTTTTTTTTTTTTTTAAAAATGAGCAAATATAAAATGTCTCCCTCCAAAAACAAAGCAGGAAAACTGTCTTCCAGTATGTATGTGGAAAAGGAAAAAAGGAAGAAAAAACAACAATAGCCTAAACCATCTAAGTGGATTAGAGACTGATTAAAGAAGTAAAGAGCGACATACTGATTTGATACTGATACTGACTTGTTGATGGAAAGATGATATTAGATCCCTCGTTGGATTAGAGCTGCTTTTAACCAATGTGGATGAAGTTTCTGTCATTGAATATAATGAGCAAAGCACAGGAAAATTTAGTCTTTGATTTTTAGTAACGCTGTAACTGAGCAGCCATTTCATGCTGAACACCCTCCCTCATCAAGCCCCCTCAGCTCCCGCTCCCCTCCAAGTTGGTTTAACCTTCCACATTACCGTAGGTTGCATTTAATACGTTACCAATGAGTGAAAAGTAATGAGTTAGATTCCTCTCTTACTGAAAACAATAACTCTGTTATTAAGTAACTCCTAAAAGAAGGAAACCTGTTAGACTTGAGACTGAGACATAATGATCATATCGATTTTAAACATACGGTGAGAGAACAGCCCAGTAGAAATCAGGACTTAAACCCAACAAGGCTGAATGCTCAATTGTCAGATTAATTTTTTTTTTTTTTTTTTAGGCTTTCTTCCACCTCACAAAAATTTGTAAATTCATCATGGTTCAAAAGTTTTCTGCTGTAATATAAGAACATGTGAGAAAGTTGAAGCAGTTTATGTGCTTTATTGAAGCACAGACAAAGTTTTTGCTAAAACTCTGCACCCGCTGGTGACTAGATAAAACAACAGAAGTTTTGTGCATTCTCAAGGAAAAGCTGCTGCTCAGGTCTTTAGCGTAGACGCACAAAGGTGAGAAAGTTATAAATGTTGAAGCTTTTAAACCCTTTTAGCAAATACAGGACCATCTTTGGGCCCCTTTCTTTCCCAGGACAGATCCAAGCTCTCTTGGTTGAAAACTTCTCCCATGTTTACTCTTTTCTTATTCCGATGCCGATCGCACTCCAGTTTAGCCCTTTTTTTGGGGGTGGGGGTTATGGCACTAGTGGCTCGTTTTTTGTGCAGTGGGTTAAAAGGAAAGGGGGTATGAGAGAGGGGGAGAGACATGCGACAAAGGACCACAGATCAGATTGGAACCCCGGTCAGCCACGTCGAGGACTTAGGCCTAAGTACATGGGTCATGTGTGCTAACTACTGCTCCACCAAAGCATGCCCAGTTTAGCCCTTTTCATCGCTTTAGACTAAAGTTTTATTCTCCTGATATTATGGGTGATCTTTTGTGATTCATCTTCAAAAACAGTCGCCAGTGTCCTCTCTCTAATGCTTCAGTGGCAGCAGAGGTCAAGTAGTCAAGTGGCAGAGCCTCACATCCACACTGTATAACCCATCTCCTGACATAAAAAATAAAATATAGAACAAATTTTACATGTCGGGTAATTGCAAAAAAACAAAACAAACATAAAACCTTGAGATATAAAATTTCTGTAACAAGGAAGTGAAGATGTCTCTGAATGTGTCTCCCTGCAGGCAACGCTTGCACGCTGCGGAACAACAACAGCAGCCGCTTCGGAAAGTACATCCAGCTGCAGCTAGACAGGTAGGCGCCCCACCTTCCACCTGTCCTAACTCCAGGTAACATCCATGGCGTCGCTGACCCTGTTTAAACTGTGTCCCACCCAGGGGGCAGCTGTTAGTTGGGGCTTCGGTGCAGACGTACTTGTTGGAGAAAACGAGGGTGGCCAGTCAGCCTGCCAACGAGAGGAACTTCCACATCTTCTACCAGGTGAGAATCTGCGCCTGACAGCTGAGCTGTTCTCCTCAGGATGTAGACTTAAAAAGCTGTCTTCTGTTTTTATAGATGATGAAAGGAGCCACAGATGAGCAGAGGAAGGAGTGGAACATGGCGCCTAATCAGCGCTTTGTGTGGCTGCCTAATTGTGAAAAACAAATTGAAGGTTGAAAAAGGAGTTTTATATACCGGTAGATTTATCTTGTCATAAAGGTGTGATTCCTGTTGTATGAATACGTTTCTTGTTTTCTAGAGGATAGTTTTCATGAAACCGTGGAGGCGATGGTTCACCTTGGGATTAAAGCAGAAAGGCAAAGACAAATTTTCAGGGTAACGCTAACCTCTTATCTTTTATTGAACATTAGGAGAAGTTCCAATATCAACCGACTGTCTTTGTGAGAGCTGCTTTTATTTAGAAATTGAACATTAGTGCTGATGGTTTCTTCTCCATCACAGATTTTAGCCGGGATTCTGCAGTTGGGTAATGTGAGTTTCTGCTCTTCAACGAATGAATCCCAGCCCTGCGACCTTGATGAACTCTCTGAAGGTAGCTTGGTGTTAGAAAAATGAAAAGCTTATAAGTTTATGGTTTATTTAACAGGCACATTTGGTGAAATCTGTGCTTTCTAATATCAAACATCATTTCAGTCTACTTGCAGAGGGCTGCGGAGCTGCTGGCGGTCCCGGCAGAGGAGCTCCAAATGTGTCTAAGAGTGAGGATGCTGAAGGCAGGGAAGCAGAACGTCTTAAAGCCCTGTTCTCAAGCAGAGTGCGGAGTGAGACGGGACTGCCTGGCCAAAGTCATTTACGGACGGTAAGAGGGAAGCATCAGACATCAGTTTGCTGTGTGATGTTGTTCTAAAAAGGCTGAAGGGGAACGAGAATACTTCTGTTTAGTAAAGGAGATGCTTTGTTTCATTTGGAATTGGTCGCCTTGGGATTCAGTGAAAAAGAACAAGAAAAAGTGCATAAATGCGGAGCGGATTATAGATTTACTTTGGTCTGAAAAACTGTATAGTCTGAAAAGTCTTAAAACTGTACATCTACATTTAAATTTACATTTACAATATAATTGCAATTTATAAAAATGTACTTTTCAAGTCGCAAAGGGCCTCAATTTTGTCAGGATTTGTTTGATGGTTGAGGACCCAAAGGCAGAGGCAGGAAGGCAGAGGTGAATCTTTCAAGAGATTTAGATGATGAATAATAACAAAAACTGAAAACAGAGGCAGGGTATCCAAAAATGCAAAATTAAATCCAAAGTCCAAATAAACAGGGAAACCAGGAATACAAAAAAAATCAAAAGGAAAACACAGTTCAAACAAACATGAAACCAGGAGTCCAAAGTCCACAGATCAAAAAATAAGAAAAAATGCAAGTCTAAACGTACCAAAAAACCAAGGAGACATCAGGGGAATCAAAATCACAAGGAGGGCTCAGAGAGACGAACTGGAGGAAGACTGAAGAGGTTGGACGAGGACCCAGCAAAGAGGAACTGAAGAGGGCTTTTAAAGGAGACTGAGACAAAGACAGGGCTAATGAGGAAACTGGGAGCAGGTGTGCACACAGCAAAAGAGGAAAAGAGCTAGGGAAGAAGGAGAACATAAGAAAGCAGCAGAGGGCAGCAAATAGAAACCTGGAAGATTGGAAATAGCAACAAAATAATAATTAAACCAATAGGACTATAAAACATGGAGAAAAGAAAACTAAACACTCAAAAGAAAACATAACAGAACCAAGACTAGGACAGTAACTGAGAAAAAACCAAAGAACTCAATAAACTAAGAATTAACCCACTAAAACTAGAAAACAAGGAGCAACGCAAAACTGGACACTCAAAAGAAAAAACATAACAGAAACAGAAACCTGACAAATTCTAGTCACAATCTATTTAACAAGAGTAAGAGTAAAGAGTAACACTAAATCTCTCCCTTAGGTGGAGGAAATATGATTAAAGTGGGTATGCTGTTGCATAGAAGGGAACAGAGAGCTCCAGCTAGCACCTAGATCTATGCATTATAGTAGAAGTAAGAACTTTTTCCTGAAAATGTTACTCCAAAGTCCTGCAGCACTGGATTCTGAACAAGCAGGCTTTCAAGCTCATGGAAAAACTGATACCCTGGAGTAAAACCGTGACATGGTTGTCTTTAGTGCAAATGGAAACCTCAATCGCATATTGGTTGAAAATAATTGCAATTTTGAGTATGACAAAATCGTTCAGCCCTAGTTTAAAGCCACTTTTTCGCCATCGTATTGCAGCCTACCAGGCAGCTATGTTCAAATGTCTCTGCAGCGCTGAAAAAAAAGGCCTTTTAGCTTATGGACTGACATCTCAGCTTCCTCTCCCATGGCTTTGTCCAGTGCATTTCACTACAAACGCTGGTCATGCTCACATTAAAAAGAGAACTACTGTAGGTTGATACACTGACTTTTAATGAGCATAATTGTAGCTGAAACACAGTTTCAGCTACAATTATGCTGAATTATGCTGATAGTTTTGATAGTTCCCACATTAAGGTGAAATATAAACCTTATATATAATATATATAAACCTCGGCCCCAACACAGAGAATAAATTGAAAGAGAAGGATGGGTGAGAACCCTGCTGCTGCTGCTTGTTCTTCAGGGTTTCTCTTTACCAGCTTTCTGCTCTTACAGACATGTTTGTCAGTTCCTCAGTGAAAGATTCAAGCTCAGTCACATTGAGAGTCTGAACTGTGATTTTTAGGTCTTGCTTCAGATTCTCAATAAGAACTAAGCATTTCCTGCTGAAGAAGACTGCTGTCAAAGCATAATGCTGCCAGCTCTGTGTTTAACTGTGGTGATGATAGTGTTGGGCTTTGTTTTAATTTAAATGGTTCTGGGTTAGGCTGCTCAGTGGAGCAGTGGGTAGCACTGCTGTCTTGCAGCAAGAAAGTCGATTCCCGGTCTTTCTGCATGGAGTTTGCATGTTCTCCCAGAGCATGTGTGCGTTCTCTCCGGGTACTCCAGCTTCCTCCCACAGTCCAGAAACACGACTGTTAGGTTAATTGGCTTCTCTAAATTCTCCTTAAGTGTGAGTATGTCTGTGAATGGTTTGTCCTGTGTCGACCTGTCCAGGCTGTACCCCGTCTCTCACCCATTGGCAGCTGGAGATTGGCCCCAGCATCCCTTGCAACCCTGTTTGGGATAAGCGTGACGGAAAATGGATGGATGGTCCTGGTTCAGAATCCTCGTTTCAGTCAATCTGAAATTTGACTCCTTTGAGTTAACATTTTGATTCAAAGTTCTATCTAGATGAAATAGTCTGAATGTCTTCATAAATTGTAAATTCTTGAACCTTTGATGTTGTGTGAGTATTATTTTAAATGTGTGCTTCATTGGAACAGTGGTTAGCTTGCACAACCCATCAATGGAGGCCTTAGTCCTTGACATGGTTGACCCGAGTTTGAATCTGACCTGTGCTTCCTTAGCTGCATGTCTCTCCCCCTCTCTCTAACCCCCTTTCCTGTCAGCCCACTGTATACAAATATGAGCTACTAGTGCTGTAAAAACCAAAAAAAAAAAACATTATTATAAATGTTCCTAAAATCAAACCTATAAACTCTAATATAACTCTTTTCACAGAGTAAATTTTGATATTGAGCTTTCTTTCTGAAAAGCTCATTTGAACACATTTACACATCTCCAGTGTCTGATACTGATATTTTATTTGATTTATTAGTTATTTTATTTTATTTATTATTTATTTATTTGATTCCGCCTGAATGAGGCTCCATTGTTCAGTCAGCAGGTATCATCATATAAAACCGATCCCAAATAAAAGAAAATAAACGATAAATAAAGTTCTGCTTAAAATTATTCAGAAGTCTGTTTGTGATTTTTATTCTATAAAGAATTCATAGAAATCGAGGCAGTTATCTGTTAAAATGTAACTTAGAAGGAAGAAAAGGATTAAAAAAGCTCTGCTCTTACTGCTGAAGCTGACAAACCCTGAGCTGGATTTATACCCAGATTAAATTACACAGAGGTCTAATGACAGGTACTTCTGAAGTCACCTGGTCAGTGATTATAGTCTAGCTTAATCTGAACATCTGTGCATGCCAACGGTTTTAGATTTACACGTAAACAAAAATCCTCCCAATTGCCTTCCCATCAACTATTTTGCATTAAAGTAAAATCCCAGAAAAATACACAGAACTTTGTGATTGATCATCATGAGATTATGTAAATGATATGGATTTAATCATTTTGGATGAATAAGCTAAATCAGATTTTTCTTTTCCCAACAGGTTATTTGAATGGTTAGTGACCTTCATCAACAGCTGCATATGTGCTGACAAATCCAAATGGTCCAACTTCATAGGTAAAGGCTTACCTTCCTCTAGCAGAGTGGAAATATAATCCAGTTTCTCTGCAGGACGTCTGACAGCTGTTATTTGTAACCTGCAGGAGTCCTGGATGTTTACGGCTTTGAGTGTTTTCACATCAACAACTTGGAGCAGCTGTGCATTAACTACGCCAATGAGAAACTCCAGCAGCACTTTGTGTCGCATTACCTCCGTGCTCAGCAGGTACAGTCATTCGTTTTTCTATCATTTATTCCACATCTCAGCAGGGATGCAGCGGTTTGTGTTTGCAGGGTTCTTTTTTTGTGTTTATATGATTTGATGACAAATGGGAACCTGGCATATATTTTCAAATGTTGGTATTTTAAACATTGTTTTTTGTTTCTGTTTTAAGGAGGAGTACGTGTCTGAGGGTTTGGAGTGGTCCTTTGTTAAATACCAAGACAACCAGAGCTGTCTCGATCTTTTAGAGGGCAGCCCTGTCAGTGTGTTTTCTCTTCTTAACGAGGTATGATGTTAATTAGCTTTAGTTTTAGTTTGTAATCAGTGATGGACCAATTGATTTGCATATTATACAGAACTGTCCAGTTATTTTCTATCTGTGATCAGCAGGCCAAATCTTTATAACCAGATATTTTTTCCCTCCAATTCATTAATTGCGTTTAAACAGAGACCCACCACCAATTTAGACTATAAATCCCTTCAGCACTGAACCTACAGAGTCAAAGGCATGTATAGGCTTAAGAATGTTTGCTTTCACTAAGTAAATTATCTTTTCTTCAATTGTCAAATTTAAAGCTGAAAAAGCACATCTTGAGTCATCTAAATATTTTGAAAGGACTTTATTGGATTTATTTTTTACTAAACCTTGAGCCGACTGCATGTCCTCAAGTGCATAAGTCTCCTGGTGATTTTTATGCGTTTGTTCTGAAGGAGAGCCGTCTGAATCGGATCTCAGACTCGAAAACGCTCAAGGTTCGTCTGGAGAAGGAGCTGAGTGGAAACCGCAACATCAGCTGGGACAAGTTCAGTCAGGTGCCGCACTTCACTGTGACCCATTACGCCGGTAAAGTTAGCTACCAGATAGAAGGCATGGTGGAGAAAAACAAGGTAAGACGTCCTTTAAACCCAAACTGTGGGATCTGGCACCCATCTGTTCCCGTTTAAAAGTTTTCTCTGTCCTGTCAGGACCCGGTCCCACCAGAACTGGTTGGCCTGCTTCAGCAGTCGGACAATCCCCTCCTCCACGAGATCTTCGTAGACCAGGAGTCTGGAATCCCAAACACGAAGGGGCTCAGTAAAGTTACTGTGGTCTCCAAGTTTAAGGTAGCTTGAAACCCGAATATTTATCATCTGTAGGCTTATTCTGGTTCTAATTATTCCTCTGGAAAGGTTTATTTATGGCTCTGAATGTGTCTTAGCAAGGCTCTCCATTTGCTATATGGCTGCCATGAGGGTTCTGCAGAAGACAGTGATGGGAGCTGAGAAAGCATTTGGGAAAATCATAAATTAATAGTCCTGCTTTTACTAGCAAACAAACCTTAACCGGTTGAGATTCAGACTCCTGTAGAAACCTGCAGGTGTTCTTTGTTGTATGACACCAAGTCCCAGGAGTTGTGAGATGTCCGATTCAACTACAAGCGAATAATGTTTCCATCCTGAACCAGCAGTTTTGCAGCTCTTTACTCACAAAAGTTACTCCAAACAAAAGGATATCAGGCCGCAACCAGATAGCTAGCTCCAATAAATTGCTGTCTAGATTGGTTCATGGTGAGTTCTAGATAATTAAAATCTAGAAGATTGGGTCTGTACTGGGTTTTGTTATGAAAAATTAGTTTTTTTGAGAAAAAAAAAGAATGTATTCTGATACAATTCATAAAGAATAAATAAATATTAAAGCAACGTAGTGCAACTTTTAGGCACTAGTGGGCACTGGATCTGTAATGTTCATGTTTAGCGCCCCTGTAAGAAACTGGAGACACTGCACTGTCGCTAAATGTCATAAATATCAGACCACTTTGTCATGGAGTTACTGGTAATTTCAAAGCTCTGGGTCATATGAACCAATCAGTGACATCATAGCCATCCCACTCAACTGACCCTCTAGAATTCCCCCATTGTGGGACAATACAGGGATTTTCTATTCCATTCTAAGTTACATTGGAGAAATGTTGGGAAGAGCATGGAGCATCCTACGCACCAAATGCTGCATATTAACTGAGAAAATGATATAATATCTGGAATTAGGTTGATAATTGGGTAAAAAGTTACCCAATGTTGCTTTAAGATGTTCAGTGATTTACACAACTCCACCCTGTCTGTTTAACCGAATCAGTCAGACTAACCTTAGACCCGCTCCAGTCTATACTCTGGTCCATTTTTCTTGCTTCGACCCAATCGCCTCTGAAGAGTAAATTTTAACTGTATCCCATAGACTCTACTTTTATGATCATCGCCTAGCAGTGGTTAAGATGTGACGCAGGCTTGCTGTGCAGTGAAATGCTGATAAATTGATGTGATTTAACTGCAGAACTCACTGGAGAACCTGATGAAGCTCCTCCTCACCACAGCTCCTCATTACACCCGCTGCATCAAACCCAACGCAGACTGCAGGCCGCTGAGCTTTAAGGAGAAGGAGGTAGATGATCGGCTCCCACATCTGCAGCATGCTGCCTTGTTTACCTGCGACCACGCTCACTGAAGTTTATTTGCTTCTGTCAGGTCATCCTACAGCTGGAGGCCTGTGGGATCGTGGAGACCATTCATATAAGTGCTGCAGGCTTCCCCATAAGGTTCAGCTGTCTTCCTCCAGCTTGGTTATAAAAGTATGTTTTTCTTTTTCTTAAGGTTGATTTAAATTGTTTGTTTTTTTTGTCCTGTTCCACAGAATTCCTTTCAAAAGCTTCCTCCTGCGTTATGGAATAATCACCAGATGTTCATCAGCAGGGCGTATCGGTGAGCTTTTCATATCATTGAACCTGATCCTGGCTTATCTAAAGAAACTGATTTGATCTCCTCTGCTTAGGTCTGCAGGTCTGTTTTTTCTCCTCGTCTCCATTAGTCCTCTTAGTAAAATCTGGTTCTTGCTTCTCTGCTCTTTGGACTTTTTCCAGTTTGGTGTTTAAGACAGAGTTTTTAACATCTTCTAAACGTTCCAGGTACATGCATGAGTCTGCCACAGCCCTCCGCAGCATCGTGCCCTCCTTCTCCATCTTTGCTGTTTTGTTCTGAAGTTTTATATAATTTAAAACAGCTGTCTGGTAGCTTTTATCCTTCAACACAGGATGACCCACCTAATGACTATCTAGGTTTTCATTACACTGCAAAAACTAACCAATAAATAAGGTAAAATTTGCTGACAAATAAGATGATCCGCCAATGAAATGATTATTTTTCCTCTTAAAAAGATAATTAGATATGATGCACTTAAAAATAAGATAATAAAGCTTTCTTTTTTTTATTTTAAGAGTAGGAAAAATAAAATCTTAAGTAATTTTTTCCTTAATTAAGATATTTTTTTGAACAGTCAGACAGTTTACACTGCAAAAAATGAAATCTAAGTTGTCAATTTTTTTAAGAATAAGTGTGTTTTTTCTTAATTTAAGCTTATAAGCGAGACACTTTGCCAATGTAATAAGAAAGTTTACATTTAACATAAGAAAAAAAATTATAGCATTATCTTATTTCAATTGCATAATATCTAATGATCTTATTTTTAGTGTAAAAATATTTGTGCCGTTAGCAGATTATCTAATTTACTTACTAAAATTAACTTATTTACTTACGTATTTCAAGATTTTTTTAAACTTCTTTTAAGATTTTTTTTTTTTAAGATATGAGGTGTGCCAATAGAAAAAGTAGACATTTAAAATAAGAAAAAAAAATCATGGTCTTATTTCAAGTGCATGATATTGAATTTCTTTATTTTAAGAAAAATGCTCATTCCAATTGGTAGATCATCTCTATCACTTACTCAAATTAAAGAAAAATACATGTATTGTAAGAAATGTTTGCAAGTTTAGGAAATAAAACCAACGAAAACTAGATCTAAAAACATTTTCATTGGTGCTACTAAACTAGGAAGTAATAAAAACTAAATTTCAAAAAATAAAGACTAAACTCACTAACAAATACTAAAAAACAATTAACTAAAATAGAATAAAAATCAAAAGTCCAAACTACATAAAAATAAAAACTAATGAAAGTTTTTCATTATTATTAAATATAGGTCATTAAGGGCAATATTAATAGATAGATATCGACATGTCTATC